TTGAAATTTTTATTGGAATAGCATTGATAGATTCAATGTTTTATTTATTCATTTTTCTTACATCTTTGTTAACTTTTAGATAGTATTTGATTTCTCCCCTCCCCAGTCCCACCACCACAGCACCTGTGACCCATCACCACAGTCCCCTGTCCTCTTCTTTCACCTATTTTGACACCCCTCCCTCCCCCTCCCTGATGTATGCTGCCTATGGTCAGCTTGCAAGTTTTGTCTTTGTTTTTTTTTTTCCAACACTTTGTTTGGGTTCTTAGTATTCCACATATAAGTGAAACCATCCACTCTTTATCTTTTCTCTCTTGACTTGTTTAACTTAGCATAATACCTTCCAGCTCCATCCATGTTGCTACAAATGGCATGAGTTTATTTATTTTTATCACAGTAATATTCCATTGTGTATATACACCACATCTCTTGATGCATTCATTTGTTTTTGGGCATTTATGTTGTTTCCATATCTTGGCTATTGGAAACAGTGCTGCAATAAACATAGGAGTGCAGTTTTCCTTTTGAATTAGTGTTTTTGTGCCCTTTGTGTAGATTCTTAGGGGTGGAATCACTGGGTCATACGATAGATCCATTTTCAGTATTTTGAGGAACCTCTACACAACTTTCCATAGTAGCGGGACCAGTTTTTATTCCCACCAGCAATGTAAGAGGGTTCCTTTTTCACTAGGTATTCACCTACATTTGGTGTTTCTGTTATTTTTTTTTGTTGTTAATATGTGCCATTCTCACAGGTGTGAGGTTGTATCTCATTGTGGTTTTGATATGCATTTCCCTGATAATAAGTGATGTTGAACTTTTTTTTTAATGTGCCTGTTGGCCATTTGCATTTCTTTGAAGATGTGTCTTTTTAGTTCTCTGTCCATTTTTAATTGTTTTTATTATTATGGCTTTATAGCATAGTTTGAAGTCTGGGATTGTAATACCATCTTCTTTTTAGTCAGGAGGGTTTTGGCTATTTGTGGTATTTTGTGGTTTCATATGAAATTCAGCAATTTGATTCCATTATTTGGCTCCCCTATATTCCTCCTATAAGTAAAGCCAACTGATATTTTTCTTTTTTCCTTCTGACTTATTTCACTGATCATAATCCCTTCTAGCTCCATCCATGTTGCTGCAAATGGCATGAGTTTATCTTTTTTGATTGCTGAATAGTATTCCATTGTGTACATATACCACATCTTCTTGATCCAGTCATCCATTTTTGGCATTTGGGTTGTTTCTAGGTTTCACCTATTACAAATAGTGATGCAATAAACATAGGGGTACAGGTATCCTTTTGAAATAATGTTTTTTTGTTCTTTCGGTAGATTCTAGGAGTGGAATTGCTGTGTCATATGGTAGCTCTATTTTTACTAGTCTGAGGAACTTCCACACAGCTTTCCATAGTAGTTGAACCAGCAGTACAGGAGGGTTCCTTTTTCACCACATACTCGCCAACATTTGTTCTTGCTTGTTTTTTTGATGTGTGCCATTTTTACTGGTGTAAAATGGTATCTCATTTGGGGTTTTGATTTGCATTTCCCTGATTATGAGGGATAGTGAACATTTTTTCATATACATGTTGGCCATTTGCATTTCTTCTTTGGAGAAGTGTCTTTTAAGTTCTTCTGCCCATTTTTTGACTGGATTGTTTACTTTGTTTTTGTTGAGTCATGGAAACTGTAAGAGACTCTAAGATATAAAAGCAATGAAAGAAGGCATGAAGAAATGGAAGAACTTTCTATGTTGATGGATTGGAAGAATTAACATTATTGAAATAGTTATCTTCCCTAAGGCAATACACAGATTCAGTGAAATCTCTATTAAAATTTCAATGACATTTTTCATGGAAATAGAGCAAACAATAATAAAATTTGTATAGTACCACACACACAAAAAAACCCACACTAAACAACCGATATAGCCAAGGCAATCCTGAGACAAAAGAAAAAATAAAGATATCACATTCCCCAATTTCAAACCATACTGCAAAGCAACAGAAATTAAAAGAGCATGTTTTGAACTGAAAACAGACACACAGATAAATGGAACAGAATTGAGAGCCCAGAAGGAAACTACATGTTTATGAATAGTTAGTGAAGGAGCCTAGAGACTACAGTAGAGGAGGGAATGCTTTTTCAATAAATGGTTTTGGGAAAACTGGGCAGCCACATGAAAAAGAATGAAAGTAGATCATTTTCTAACTCCATACACCAAAATTAATTTAAAGTGGTTTGAGGACTTGACTTGGGCCTTAGAAATGTCCTTGGGGATTTGACCCCAATAGCAAAAGGAACAAAAACAAAAACAAACAAATAGGCTACACCAAACTAAAAAGGCTCTGCACAGTGAAAGACAACCTACTGGGTGGGCGAACATATTCACAATGCACACATCCAGCAAGATGTTATTTTCCAAGCTATATAAAGAACTCATATATCTTAGCAACAACAAAAACAAATAGCCCAGTTAATATTATTCTTAGGGGGGGGGGCTTGAATTTTTGAAATGGTAAATGGGAATTGGCTTTGACTTAAGATCCTCAGATGTATTAGCACCTAAGAGCCAGCCCATTCTTTGATGCATGGAAGCCAGGGAATGACTTACCTCTACCTATCAAAGCATTAGATGCATCTTCTCTTTATTTAAGAAAAAAGAGGGCTAGATTATTTAGATTGAAATCAGTTGTTTAGTGCAACTCCTTTCATCAATTACCTTAACTAGAACTTCTGGATAATTGCCCCAGTTTCCATTTTGGTATTTGATAATTCACCTTTATTCACTTCTCAAGATTGTTGAAGAATAACTGATAATTTATTGACAATGCTTGATCCACAGGCTTCCACTAAATAATGGCCTTTTTACCATTAAAGGATCAATGACTAGGAAAAAAATCATGGAATCAGGTTTTGGGTTAAAATAAAAATTGTGGTGTGATTTTACCAGGAAATGAAGAATTTAGTGTAGAATTCTATTACAAAGAATTCCGGAATGTGTATTATGAATTAGGAGTACAAGTAAGGCTTGCTGTTGGTTGAATTTTTTAGCATGGCCATTTATTTACATGGTTACTTAATTTGGTGGGGTGTTTTACAGAGATGGTTTGGAAATTCTTGGTAGGGGTCAATGAGAGCAGATTTCATATTTTCCATAGCAATCTTAGGTAATTTTAAGAGGTTTGCCTAGTCCTCCAATAAGATTACCTGGATCTAGATTCTCTGTACTTCTGAGCAATTGTGCCAAGTATTAAAAGGCTGATGCTCAATGCCCAGCCAGACTGTCTCCGTGCTTTTTAGGAATCTGGTTATTTTATTTTTGCATTCTTTTTTGTGAGGCACTATAGTCTTTTCAAAGCCATGTGTGGACTGGAAGCCTCACTAATTCAAATTATTGTTGTGGGGTCGTTTGCATTAAGGAAAAGTTACTTTTGGTAAAAAAAAAAAAACAAAACGGCAGTTTAGTCATTTGTAATAGACTATTAAGCAGGTTTCTGTCATTCAATTTTGGGAGAGATAAATGGTATCAATGCAAGAAAACTGAGTTAGACTTAACATGTTGGATCCCCCAAGTTGGTGGATCAGGGAGGGTCAGTGAGTTATAGGTAAAATAAGGTATGCTACTAAATTTTGCTGTATTGTGGTATGTCATCCTTCTTTGTTGAAATTAAAACTCTAACTCAGCATGAGAAAGTGATCTTAATGAAACCTCTGATGTCTTTAGAATTTTTAGAATTTAGTATAATAATTAAAGGTCGCTTGATGTCTGAATCAACCAAGTTCCTGTAGAGACCTCACAGAGGCATGATTGCACTAGAGGCGCAGTCTTGTTACCAATCAAGAACAAAATGATATTGCTCTAGAATATAGTGTGGAAGGATGTAGCTAGACATTATCCCCAAGCATCTGTTTTCTTCCCCTTACTCTACTTCCTCTACCTAGAAGGCATCATGAAATTAAGAGCAACGGCTCTTTCTTAGAATAGGGTGGTGCTATACTTTCTAGGTGATGTCTTCTGATTTGCAATCACAGAACATTAAAATCAGAAGGGAGATTTCAGTTTTGTCTCTCTGTTATTGGGTTGGTATCTCCTTATTAAGGTGTGATGCCAATTTGTACTGACTCTTTCCAAAAGAGATAGTTATTTTCGTTTTGGTGTGTAAGAAGAGTGTAAGGAGATTTATGGTTTCAGGTCTTATAGCCAAGTCTTTAACTAAGTTTTAATTATTTTTTATTATGGCATTAAATAATGACCTAGTTTTATTTATTTATTTATTTGTGGCTGTCAAAGTTTTCACTATCATTTGTAAATGAGGCTTTCCTTGTATGGTTATGGTTCTTTTATCAAAGATTAACTTTCTGTATTTGTGTGTGTGGATTATTTCTGGGCTTCCTATGCATTTTTTTTTCTAATACCAAATTACTCCGATTGCTATTACTGTGTACTGTAGTTTGAAGTCTGAGAGCATGAGACTTACATTTTTCTTATTTTCTCTCAGGATTGCTTGGACAATTTTGGGTCTTCTGTGGTTCTATACAAATTTTATAAGGTTTTTTTTTTTTCTATTTCTTTGAGAAAGTCACTGAAATTTTGATAAAATTGTGTCAAATCTGTATATTGCTTTAGGTAATATGGTCATTTATACAAAGTTTATTCTTTCAATCCATGAACATGGGGTATCTTTCCATTTCTTTTTTTTCCTTTGATAGAGTTGTTACCGGCACCCAGCAGCTTCAGTGGTGGAAGCTGCTCCTCATAACTCAGTAACTACCTTTATGTCAGTGTGGCAGCTACTTCTCAGAGACCTTTTATCTAACACTGTACTTCCTGGATCGTGGAATGGACCAATCAAGTGCTACAGGGTGATTGGCAAATGGTCCAGTCAGCCACAGGATTGAAAAATAGTTCAATCAGACTTGTGGGTGGGGCACCCTGCAAGAGCATTTAAGCCAGGGTCAGAGGGCGCAGAGGGGAGACGACACCAGCTCTGAGGAGAGTTGATGCCAGCTCCTGAAGAACAGAAAGCCACTGACGCCAGTCCACGAACAGGAGAGAGGATGCCAGCCCCTGAAGAAAAGAAGATGGTTCCAGCCTCCGAAGGACGAAGAAAGAAGGGGAAAACTCTGTTCCTGGCTTCCAAAGTAAGAGGAAAAGAAGCATGCTGCAGCCGACCTCCAAGGAGGGAAGAGAAGCCCCAAGACCTCTGTCAGAGACTGGGCCTCTGGTCATGTCTCTGACATCACCTAAAAGGAGCACCAAAGACCCTGGGCCTGGTGTCTCGAAGAGCTGATTGTTATTGGTATAACCCAACAACTCACAAAGACACTGGGTTCTCTGACACTGCCTCCAAGGAACCAGTTGTGACCATCACTACTGGCCAGTGCTGACCATCACTGATGCTATCTGGGTGAGAGAGCCGCCACTTGTGGATACAGTAAGCTCTTTGTTTTCCCTGTTTGTAAAATAAACTCATGGTGTTCCTGGAGCCTTAGGTCTCTTGCAATTGTGCACGTGAATGAGAACTGACAGACAGTGACCTGTCCTCTTATTGGGCACTGTCCTTTGTTTGGCCATAGCCACAGGCCCCTGTTGCGTGGGTGTTGATTGCTAGAGCGTTGGTTTTGGCTTTTGGACTTGTGGGGCTTTTTGGTGGCTCTCTTGTCTCAGAGCCCTCACAGGTGGGTGGCTGTTCTATCCTTCCCTCCAGCTCCTGCCTTTTTGCCCTTTTGTACTCTGCTCCTGTTTCAGGTTCTTACAGTTTTCATTGTATCTCCTCCAAGGTATTTGTTAACTTTATTCCCAGGTATTTCATCCTTTATGGTGCAATTTAAAATAGGTTTGTTTTCTTAATTTCTTCTTCTTCTAACTCACTGCTTGCATATATAAAAACAACATGTTTGTGTGTATTGATTTTGTAACCTGCTATTTTATTGTATTAATTTACTATTTATAGAATATTTATAGAATATTGTATTAATTTACTATTTATAGTTTTTTGATATGGTCTTTAGGATTTTCTATGTATATTTGGAGTCCTTTTATGTGTCTTTTTCTCACCCAATTGCTCTGGCTAGGACTCCCAAAACTATGTTGAATAATAGTGGTGAAAGTAGATATCCTTGTTTTGTTCCTGGTCATAGGGAAAAAACATTTTCAGTTTTTCACCATTGAATGTGTTGTTGGGTATGGGTTTGTTATATATGGCCTTTACTATGTTCATCTTATTCCTATTTTATGGAAGGTTTTTACATTAAATAGGTATAAATAGGTGTTGAATTTTGTAAAATGCTTTTTTCAGTGTCTACTGAAATGATCATATGATTTTTATCTTTGTTTTAGTTTGTGTTGAATGATACTGATTTGCACATATTGAACCATCTTGCATGCCTAGAATGGATGCCACTTGGTCATGACGGGTGATTATCTTAATATCTTCTTCAATTTGATTTGCTAAGATTTTGTTGAGGGGTTTTGCGTGTATGTATTTAGTAATGTTGATCTATAGTTTTCTGTGTTTTGTCCGTGCGTGGTATTATACCAAATTAATTTAAAATGAACAAGCAGTATACAGTTACAGAAATAATTGTGATAGGAATCATTTGAAAGAATATGGAGAGGCTTTAGTGAAGAAAGAATCTAGCAGGACTTTGAAAGATGAGTAGGATTTGTTTGGGCAGAGAAAGGGGATAGGTAGTCCAAGAAGAGGGACAAGAACACAAAAAGCACAAAGTCAGTTTGAAGAATAATGACTAGACCAGTATTATTAGGTTATTTGGAAACTGGGTTATTCCAATTCAATTGATTAAGGTCTCTGAACTTCTCAGGTGTGAGGTGTTTAGGGTAGAGGGACCACAGTGATTCTGTCTGCTGTTTCATCTTGCACAAAATTCACTGTGCACAGGTAGAAATAGGACTTAACGGTAGCGGCTTCTGCGCCGTGTTGTGTTTTGCAGGCCGTTGCGTTTACTTATTAAGAACATTGTTAAGGACAGTTGGGAGTAACTTCTCTCACATTAAATAAACGTGAGTTGATGGTGTGCAGGGCTATAGAGAAACAGTGAACTTCAGAAAGTGGTCAATAAGCAAGATCAATGAGAAGCGCAAGCATGAACTCTGGGAACAAACCCTTGGACATTATAAAGGTGACTGTCAGAGGTGTACGGGGTTGAAGATCGGGAATGGCTGAGATACAGAAAACAGCGGCGTCTGGCTATTAAAAGTGAAAAAAGCCGCGACCTGGGTGAGATCCCCCGCTTCTTTGAACCCAGACACCTTGACTGGGCCCCACCTTTGTGACGTCGCCGGCCAGCCTCAGCCTCGGCTCAAGCCTCCGCGAGGGCGCAGGCCAGTGGCCCCGCGGGGGCGGGCGCAGGGGCGGGAGCGGGGCCATGGCTGAGGCAGCCCAGACCGGTGGCGAATCCAAAGGCACCGAAGGGAAAACGCAGCAGCCCGTGGAGAAAACCCCGGGGGGCGCGCCGCGGCGGGAGCCGCGCTCGGTGCTGAAGGTGTCCCAGCTGCTGCTGCGCGCCATCACGGCGCACCGCGGGCTGACGCTGGCGGCGCTGAAGCGGGAGCTGGGGAACGCCGGCTACGAGGTGCGCAGGAAGTGCTGCCGCCACGCCGGGGACGCCGCCAGGCCTGACACGAAGGGCACGCTCCTCCGGGTGAGCGGCAGTGAGGCCGCCGGCTACTTCAGGGTCTGGAAGATTCCAAAGGCGAAGAGAAAGCCCGCGCGCCCGAGGTTCGAGGAGGGCACCCGCTCTCTGAGGAGGCCCCTCGCGGCGTCGCGGGGCCAGCGGAGGAGCCCCGCGCGGCGCAGAGCGAGGAAGGCCCGGGAGGCGCTGAGGCGCAGGAGGGTGGCCTCGAGGGCGCGGAGAGCGAGGGCCAGAGCCAGGGAGCCGGCGCGCTCCAGAACCAAGGTGGAAGCGAGGGCCAAAGTGGACGAGGGGCGAGGACGAACCCCAAAGGAGGACGTCAAGCCTCGGACCCGAGAGCAGAAGAGACCAAGCACGAAGGCCCGGGAAGAAAACGAGAAACCGGTAAGACGGACCATCCAGAAGCCAACACAGACTAAAAATGACCCTTCTTCTAGCGGGCAAGGGAAGGCCCACGACTCGAGGACCACTCGCTCAAAGACTTACCCTAAAGCCGAGAGTCCTCAGACTGCGAACGGGAACCCCTAGGGTGGGAGCAACTTTCTTCCCTCCGGGCACAGATGCCTTTTCCCCATTGGGTCCGAAGAGGGTGGGCGGCTCCCAAACTCATTAAATGGAAAGCTATTTACAAGACCCTCCCACCACTTTGTGTCTGTTTCCTCTTTGCTGCAGCGGAAGGGAAAAGGTGAATGTGGAGGTGAGCCTTCTTTGGCAGGGGCACTGGGGTGAAGTGGGGGACAGAATTGAGGTTTTGTTCCTGCTGCAGAAGCCAGGAAAAGACCTTTGCTAAGAAGAACACAGGTAAAAGAAAGTCAGCCACTTCACAGGTTTAGACAAATAATGTTCACTCAAGGTTGGACATTCTAAGAAATCCATATTGAATTCTGGGGAGAAGGGCATGTAGAGACATGGGGGCTATCTTTCAGTGGGGCGGCTAGATTGATGCAGTGTTCTTAACAGAAATTCCTTTTAGGAAAAAAGTCCCTTCTCCTAAAATTGATTGTAGTTTTTGCCCTGACTTGTTAATTTATTTGAACTTTACTATTTGGTTAAATGAGAGTGTTAAAGCATCTAGCACAGGATAGATGGTTATCACTGAGAGCTGACTATAAGTATAAATAGTTGGTGGTGGGGTGAGATAATGTACCATACTAGAAAACTAGAATCAGTGCTTAGTGACACCACAATTCTTGGTAAAGTTCTGCCACTCTGTCCTCAGCTGAGTTATTTCACATTCATGGACGTGTTTGCCTTCTCTCTAGAACAGCTGGAGTTGATCAAGGATGATTTTAGGACATTCGGTAAAATAAGGGGGACTTAACATGGCATATACTTTGCTGGACAAAATTCAGTAAGGGAATTACCAACTGGGGAAGTACAAACTCCTAGCAGGATGTGATTATAAAGAAACGGGGAAGGTTAGATTATGAATAGGTAGTTCTTTTGCTGTCCTTGAAAAGCAACAGTATCTATTGAGCACCATTTACCAAATAATGGAGCTGACATGATTTCTTTTAATTGTGAATGCAGGGGTTGAGAACAGCGTGGTAGTTCTCATGCGGTAGACCGTGATGAGACTCACAAAATGGTTCCTGGGAAAGTAAGAACAGTTGCTCATTCATGGGAACCCACTTGGTGTCTTCAACTGAAGCCAAAGGAGTAGGGGAAAGGGGAGCATCTGAAACGGGCTTTTTAAAAGAAGTGAGTGTGAAGGCAGAACATGGTAAGGTGTTAGAATAACCTGGATGCATTTTCATAGTATTCCTGATCAAGCTTTTTCAGGAGAGTCTGGCATCTTCTGGAAGGGAGATGTGGGTATGCATGTTTAAGAAAAAAAACTGAAGTGATGCTAATATTCACCTCACATCTTTACATGAGAATCACTATTGTAAGCCCATGGAAAGCTGAGTAATAGCAAAATGCTTGCGGCATCTCTCATCTATAGATAATAAGAACTTTGAAATGTCCACCTGCTGAAATTAGGTTTAGTGTGCATTTGAATTGTTGGTGAAGGCAGAATGAGGGAAACAGAATCAGAAAGGAGGGAATCATCTGAAAAGAGGCAGTGAGATATATTGCCTATTGAACACAATTAGAACAAAGCGAACCAAATGCCCTTATGATAGCGACATGAATCCCTCTTGTAGTCCCAGAATGTTTTTACCTAAAGAGCCATATGGTGTAGAGTTAGAAAAACGTTTTCCCCAAGACAGTATGGAAAGGCAACAATTTGTTTTCTAGATTTCCTAAGAATGTTTACACTTCTGTTTATGATGATTTCTTTCTTAAGCAAACTTCCATTCATTTATGAGATAAACTTACCAATTTATTAAGTATGAGACACTGATTTTCTATAGTTAACAATGGTTATTGAAAATTATTTTTTATTTATAAGTTTTAGGGTGATTGTACTCCTCTGAAATATAAGAAATGAATTTAATTCATTGCAGGCTATCCATGTTATCTAGATCATAATGCTGTCTGGGTATTGTGTGGAAGGAATTTATAAGTGCCTGAAAGAGGGACTTTTGTTGTGAATAAAGATGGATGAAACATAATCCCTATTTTTCCATGAGCATATTCTAGTGGCATATTTGGATATCAAATTTAGTTAGAGCAAATAATATTTTGACATCAGTTTTTCCTTTCTTTTTATCTTAACCACCTAGTGCAATCAGAAATTGTTGGACTTTAATGTTGTAACAAACCTTAGATGCCCTCTAGCATCAAATAACTGATAGTTCTTGAAAAAAAAAAGTTAACGGAAATAACAAATGGTCTTCAAAAATATGAAAAAGCTGAAATTTTTTTCGTAAGAAAAATGCACATTAAAACAAGTTAGTATTTTAATTTAATCAATTGAGCAAAGATCCAAATGTCTGAGAACCCACTTACTATAGTGAGGCTGTGGGGACACAAGCTCTCAGACTGTGCTAGTGGGGCTGTAAATCTGCATGATCCCAGTGTGGAGGGGATTTGCAGATATTCTTTGAAACAGCAGAACCACTTTTAGAAATTTATCTTTTAAATGTAAATATATTTGTGAAATGACATGTCCAGGATATTTTGTGCAGTGTTGTAGTAACAACAACAACAAAATGGTAATAATCTGAGTATCATTTGGGGGTTAAACTGTGATGATTTCATACAGTAACATAGCATGTTGCAAAAAGAGGGAGATTCTTTCCATATTATGACAAGCGTCCCAAGGCACAATAAGTAAAAAAAAAAAAAAAAATCAAAGACATTGAAGATACCATACTATCTGTGTAAAATGAAGGAAAATATACCTCTTTGTAATTGTACAAAGAAAGTATAGATGGATACAAACGGAAAACTAAGTTATTCTCTACTATAAGGGGAAAGTGATAGAAATTCTAGGGGACACACAGAAATGAGACTCTGGTATACCATTTTTGTATTTGTTTCAGAATCTCATAAACTTTAATATGTTCAAAAAGGTAGAAATCTCCATGCAGTTGTCAATTATTGCTTTTTCATTTATAATGTGGTTTGTACTTTTGCATGAATTATTTCATTTCACCTTCACCTTGATTTCTAAGATAGATTTTACACGAAAAAGCTAATGTTTAGAAAATGTGGAATTTTCTTTAAAGATTTATTTATTTATGCATACAAGATCTGGGGTATAGGCCAGAAGTGTGTGTGTGTATGTGTGTGTGTGTGTGTGTGTGTGTGTGTGTGGGAGGTTGGTGTGAACAAAAGTGGGGAGTCAAACAGGCAGATTGACTGAAATATACTGCTGAGGGGAGTAGCGGGTGAGACAGGAGAGGTCTGCTGCACCATGTGTGTTAGGTCCCTGGCTGGGGATTGAACTTGTGCTGCAGTGGCTGCGGATAGCTTCATATGCCAAGACTTAACCCCTTGCGCCACCAGGGAGGCCTAAATGTGGAATTTAGAAATTGACTTTTACCTGTAAATCCATTGCTCTCTCTCATACTGTCTTCACTCCAGTTATAGATGTTGAGCGGGGGACTCATCAGCTACTCGTTAATTCTATAAGGCATCTTATGTTGGTAAAGGTCAGAACTTTAGAATTCATTTCTACAGTGTTTTAATGATTTAGAGTTTCTTGTGTGGCAGTGTTCTCAAACACATTTTGGATGTGTGTGTGTGTGTGTGTATGTGTGTGTGCTATTTTCAGAACATGCAAACGTCTCCATTTGTCAGTGATTTCAGAGCAAAAGAACCTCTCCTGTTCCACTGGGGAACTGTAACATGTTAGGGCTGCATGTTTGGGCTGGAGGTCACTCCAGCTGAAATCTTAGTGCTAGCAAAGGCAGAAATAGGGATTGTTTGGGTAGGGGAACCATGTTAGGAAAAGGCTTAAAAATGAAAATGATCTGGAAAAGAGAAATAAAAGACTGAGGAAGTGTCAGCACGAGGCCTTGAATGATGCTGAGAGAGACATTGGAAGGAGATGTAGGAGAAGGAACTGAAGGTTTCAGCAGCCCACTGGAGTTGGACGACCATTGCCGTGTTCTGTGTCTCTCCTTCCCCTTTGGTCAGTTCCTTCCCTCCTCCCCTATTTGTCTGGGGAAAGAGCAGACTTGGCAAGAGTATTCCTGCCAGTGACTTGGGGGAGTATGAGTGAAAACAAGAATACAGGAAGGACAGAAAACATGGAGGCAATAAAACAGCCTGGCTGGTGTTCAGAAAGCTGGTTAGAGGCGTTTGAGGATCATCCCTTAAGCAGTAGGCTGGAAGCTCTTTAAGGCAATTCCACTGGAGGAAGATGAAAGTCTTTGGGTTGCACTCAGGTGCCCACACCTGAGACTCTGGGGGACATGTTAGTGGGTCAGCAGCTGGCAGTTTCCCCAGCTTTTCCATTTTTCTCCTGTGCTTTTGATATGCTCTGTCAGATATACATCCTCTTCATCCTCAAAGGTGAATGCGTCTGGTGGACCTGGTTCCTGCCCAACCCTATCATATGTGCAGATACCTCTGCCTCCCCAACAATCTTCAACTGCTGGGAATTTGCCTTAGGAGGTCAATTTGCAGGCACCACCACCTCAGGCTCCAGACTTGAGCTCACCACTAAGGGTGCTGAATGACCCTGAGACAGAGATGCTGCTTAAATCTGTGACCTATACTATCTTGCTGACCTCACCCTAGGCACAGCCCTGCACATGAATCTGCTGCCAGTCCTCTTCCCCCCACCTCTAGGTTGGATTTAACTGGGGGAGCAGTATCTGGGAGCCAGGACACTAAGAAAGAGGCAGGGAGGCCTAATCTGAAGCATCTGAGGTTTATGTTGCAGTAAGGGTTGTAAGGGGCTTGTCTTACTCCCCCAGGAGCCATCTGGTGTTCCCTACTCTGTTGCAGCCTTTTTATCAGTAGAGAAGAGGTGAGAATGGAGGGGAGAACTGAGAGAGGAAATGAGTGACACAGTCAATATATCACATCCTTTATTCGACTCACAGGGACCACATAGAGTATATTATAGATCCCTAATGATACAGACAAAGGTCCCCTGTTGGGCAATCTGTAGCCCATCAAAGAGAACCAAGCCAGACAACAGACAGAGCTGTTGGGCTACATAGCAAGTGAATAGATGCCCCAAAGTTTCTTGGAAGGGGTGCCTTGGCACAGGGTCATGAGGCATGGCAGAAAAGTGGTGGCAAGGGAGGACTCAGCTGTGGAACACGGTGAGTAGAGACCTTGCTCATACTTTGTCTCCCAAACCTAGAACAGTCAGCTCCTGGCACATGGTAAGTATGCTAAAAATGGCCTGTAGAATTGAGACTATTTGAAGAAGCCAAAAGAGATAGGAAGGATTGAGAAAATCAAAATAATAGAATGTGGAAAGCCATTTTGGAAGCTACCTGGTGGGAAGGAAGGCCTGAAGGGAATGCAGTAAAGAGCCTGGATTTGGCAGGTGGTGAGTGGGCTCAGAATGGAGTGGAACTGGCCAGTAGCTTGAAGAGGGAAACTGTAATGGAAAGAGAAGGAAAAGGATTAAGTAGATTATCTAGGTATACCGTTCCCTAGGCAAAGAAAATGTCAAAACAAACCAAACAAACTGAAAACCAGTGATGTGGAAGAGGCTGCTTATTGGGGAAATAGAGGTGGCAACAGGAAAGAGGGGGGAGAGCTGCAGGCCAGGGGCTGAAGTGCAGCCATGCTTTTCCACCTTAGGGCAAAGTGCCCCAAAGAGACTTATGTCCATTCTAGCCTTCTGACCTTGAAAAACCCCTTAGGAGTGGAGGATTTACAACTGCCAGTCCAATCTGTCCTATGGGTGTGCCCAGGAAAGGAGGAGGCAGAGGGCTAGGGCCTGCTCCTTCATGTGCTAAGAGGATGCATTTTTGACTTAGGCACCCCAGCTTCATTGGTTACAACCTCTACCCTTGCAGACAGACTCTGGAGTCCACCAGCTTATGTCACATCTGACTAAATTAGCCTCGTTCTCTCCCTCCTGTGTCCTGGGGACTTTCTGATGCTCCTACCACTCTTGCCCATAGGGCGGGCCAAATCTTGGATCGACACCTCTTACACAGCACCTTACTTAACTGGGTTTCATTGCAATTGGGAGGTTGGACAACTTGGGCCCTTGAGGGTTTGGTACACAGGTCTAACTCTACCTCTTTGCTGAATACTCTCCTCCTCTCAAACCCTCTTGCCTCCAGGGCAACTCATTGGGCCTAGAAAAGGATCAGGTAACCACTGACAGAAGGACCATTTTCTTGGAGGTCAGTTTTTCAGTTTTACTATGAATTTCTGCTCCTTTTTTGGCCTTTCGGATTTCCGACTCATGAATTCTCATTGCCCATTTTACCAACCAATCATAGTAGCTTCGTAGTTGACCCACCAGTTATTGAAATTTGGTGACTAACCCAAATCTTTTCACTTATTTAAGGAACCCAACTGAAGAACTGGCCTAGAGAGGTTACAGGAAATAAATCTGACAAGAGCGAGTATAAAGATTCCTCCTCTCCCTGTTTGAAGAGGGTAAGGTACTGACTGAAATGGAATCTGAATCTTGTAGCTAGTGGTTCTCAAGCTTTTAGCCTGTCTCAGCTATCTCAGAAAGCTGTGAAAAGGCTGACTGCTAGAGTCCTCGGTTTCAGTTTTTCTTGTTCCAGTCTAAGAATTTGCATTCCTAAAGGCAGGATAAAGAAAAATACTGAATGATATCACTTAGAGAGAAAAAGCAAATGGTCAAAGACAAACTTTAAAACAACCCTTGATAGCTGACCATGGATCTGGCTTTCAGAAGGGGAGGTGGAGGTGAGGGGTGAAAAAGTGGGGGGAAGTGCTGTGGGTGTGGTGGGAGCCCTATGCTGACTCCACCTGAGGGGCTAAACCCTAGGCTGTCAAAACACTGACTAGGATATAAAATACTGCCACTTTAAGGATTAAAGAAAAAAGCAAAGACTTAGAAAATATATTTAGTTCTAAAACAATATATTTAGTTCTAAAACAATATATTTAGTTCTAAAACAAGTTCCCAGCTGATACTGAAGTTGCTGATTCAAAGACCACATTTGAGATGGAGGCAAAGTTAGCACTCCACGCAGCAGAAGGAGCTTTTGCCAGCTTAGATCTCTAAGAGGTCAAAGAAAATAATTCATTTTTCTGGTATTGCCCAGTTCCATTCACCCCCTCCTAGTGTATCATTTTCAATAGAGATGGAAAGAACCTGTCTTCTGATACCTCTGGTTCTGTGTCAGGCTCACCTTGCCCTTGATGCTGTGATTACAGGAGTGCTGGAAAGGGAAGGTTTTTTGTCTCAAATGATTACTCCTTTAACTCCGTGAAGGCATAATATCACATCTTTCACTTTTACTATCAGATCTGAAGCTTAAAATGAAATAGCTCTGGGAATAGCTAATTCTTAGGGTTATATTCACCAATGTCAGGGTTATATTCACCAAAGATACTTTGATGGGATGGAAACAGGAAGGTATTTGAACCCCAAATAGGGTATAGGCACCAGAGGGAGAAAGGTGACAAATTCCTGAGGATGGATTTCTCTTTTACACTTTGCCCCCAAAGAACACAGAGACTTTTTTTTTAAATTTATTTAAAGGGTTGATAAGGTGGCTACATGGCATACGGGAGCTGGGTAAAAGATAGGAGTCTGAGGTTGATTCCCTGTGGGAAAAATCATTCAACTCTAAATACCCATCCAATCACTGTTGTTTTATTTTTTAATCCAAGGGAAGTGGTGCTGGACAGAGGTAGAGAAGACAGTGGTGCACCAGAATGAAAAGGGTCGCCCCTTCCGCAGAAGACCCTTAAGACTCCATGATGTTCTTCAGCTGGGTGCAATGACTGTACCTACACTTTGGGGGCTTCACTTTCTATCCTCACAATTACTAAGGCAGATCAGAGGCTAGGGTAAACGTGGTTATTAGGAATTGTGACCTGACAGTAAGGAGAATCGCTCCTGTACATTTGTGACCTGGATTTGTCAGCATATCTTTTTTTTAAAAGAGTATTGTGTAAACAATATGCTCTGGTCATTAAAGACCAGACTATTCTTATACCCTACTGCCTCTTTAGAACATTTACTGATCCCTGATTTGTACTTTTTGACAAAATATTAATATATAGTGAGTCAGGGTAATACCCTTTCTTTGACGCCAGTTTAGTGATTCCTGGATGGGCTCTAAATTTGTATGCCAAACTGAGTGAACTGCTAATATCTATTTTCCTCCAAATTGAAGTTCTGGTTTTCGTTAGATTCTGAAATGGTCTATGATCCAAAATGGGTTCTGAACCGTTGTTTACATAATGCTGATCTGCATCAATAAGGCATAGTGGGATGATAAAATAAATTATATAAGCCAATCTTACCCCTGGAGTCCAATACCTTCCTATTCCCTGGAGCCTCTCCTAATACTGATCCTAAAATGTTCCTGTCTCTGAGGACCTAGGACAAGGCCACCTTACAAAAGACTGGCCATTTTGCTCTGTTCATAGGAATGTGAGCAAAAGAAGAGCATTTCAGGTAAAGAAGGAAGGCTGCTTTGAGCAGCAAAAGGGAAGTGGGACTGGGTTGCTCATCATATGTACTCTAAGAAGATTTGTTAGCAAAATGAGCCCATTTTTAACTCCATTTAGGTCTAAGGAGTTGCGATTCCCCAGTTTTCCCCAAGCAATCGGACAGTCATTAAGCTAGATTGTTGGAGCTCACTTTTGCCTCTGTGGTTGAGAAATTAATGTGTTTGGGGAAAAAATAAAAACAACAGAATCTAAGCACTGGAACGGTAATATCCCACTTTCATTCTCTGCTCTCCTCCACTTCCTCCCTAGCCCCAAACTGCTATTACATATAATTTTTAAATTATAGGATTGATATTAATACATTATCAATGAAGAAAAACAATGACCAAATCATCAACTAACAGATGCTAGAATACTTAGTAAGTCCCGGAGTTGAGTCTCTGCGGACACCTTCCCAGAACAGGGAGGAAAACCAACTGGAAAGCTCATTACCCTGCGTCAGCTGAAAAGCTAAACATAATCATTCCCCCTAAAGTTCTTTCTGGGAGACTGAGATCCTCCAGTATTCTGCCCCCTTGACAGAGGCAGTCAAGGTCAAACAAGAGTGATGACAACAACTGGCACATACTGTGATCCCTGCCCTAATTTCCCAGCTCTTTAAACAAGACAAAAACCCCACTCAGCACCAAGCTTCCTTAGGTACCTTGCTTGCAATCAGTTAAGAAACAGTTTATCTCACTGAAGATCTGTTTCCTCTCAGGCAAAAATAATCTGTGGCCCAGACAGAGCTATAGCTCTAGTTGTTTTGATGTGACAACTGGGGAGACCTCAACTTCAACATTGTAACCATTACTGATCCTTTCTACTAGGGCTCCCTTAATTGTTCAGCTTACTTTCTATCTTAAAACAACAAATAAAGCCCTATATAATACCCACTACCCTCTTCCCAGAACACAGCCCCTAGAAAATCTAGCTTGTACAGATTGTACTTTGCATGCTTTCATCAAAGACCCGGCACACAGATACACAGACACATAAAGACACAGTCAAGAGGAGATGGGTCTGTTCAAGAAGATAGTTTTTTTCTTCTGTGTGGGTGTGGGTTACTTGGGGATATAAGATCCATCTCTCAGTATTCTAGCTTGCTCTCTCAGCTGGATAAATGTATGTGTAGGATGAAAGGAGTTGGAATAGAGGTAAAAGGTTAATGTTTCTATTTTTCAGTGGGTGGGGGTGAGCAGTGTGGACATGTACTGGATGATTGGGATAAAGGTGATGGACCCACACAGGAATGAGGTTTGCCCCTCATCTATCACTGGGATTAAAAAAGGGGGGCTCTGAGTGCCTGATCACCCGTTCCTTCTTTGCCCTTTAACCCAGTGGTCACCAGAGTGTTTCATAGAGTCACTAGTTCTGTGCGATGTTAGACAGAAAGGATATTGAGGCCAAGTACATTTAGGAAACACTACACTAAAAGAGGCTTAACAACTTGCTTTCCTGCATGTTTTCAGAGCATTTTATATGCTAATATGGGCTTCCTCTCTATCATGTAATAGTTATAATATGCAAAGGCGCTACTCAAAATATCAAACAACTGGCATGGCACAGGCTCCAACCAGTCAGAATGGGCCTGTGCCGTAAACTGCTGGGTTATCACTGCGCCCTGGGTAATCACTGCGGGCGTAGGCCCATCGCAGTATGCACTGTTTCCCAAAACTTCTCCCCTGAAGAACTCTATTTTGCATGGTATCTCACAGAAGTGGTGAGAAATGCTCTGGTCAATGCTGGGACCTCATCTCTTGAGGGATGGGGTCAGGGGTCATGGTTCTGGCCCTTAGGACGCAGGAAATGGGTGGCTCTGTCAGAGACTCCTGGTAGCACCGACAGATAGATGTGAGCATAGCTGCAGCAAAAACAGATTTCAAAAGACAGATGTCCCTCTGTCCCAGCTGCTCCGAGGACTCTGTCCCTGGTGAGTCAGCAGGTGCCTGTCCAGGTGATGCTTACGGCCGAAGCTCTTTTCACAGCGAGGGCACTGGAAGGGCTTCTCCCCGGTGTGGGTCAGCCAGTGTCTCACCAGGTGGTGTCGCCGGCCAAAGCTCTTGCCACACTCAGTGCACACATGGCACTTTGGCACTGGTGGGGGACGCTGCCGTTTCCGAGCCCCAGGGCTCTCTTCCCCCTCTTGGCCCTTGCAGGATTTGCCTTCAGCGTGCACTCTCTGGTGGCTGGCCAGGTGGGAGTTGCATCGGAAATTCTTGCCACACTCAGAGCACCTGCTGGGTTTGTCATGGAGGTGAGTTTTCTGGTGCCGGATCAGGTGATGTCTTCGTCCAAAGCTCTTCTCACATTTGAGGCAGCTGTAGGGCCTCTCCCCAGTGTGTGTTTGCTGGTGCCTGGCAAGGTGGGAGCCCCACACAAACTGTTTGCCACATTGGGGACATGTGTGGGGTCTTAATAGGGAATCCATCTCTGTACCACAGAGAAGGTTGGAGAAGCTATCTTCCTGAAGAAAAGGTGGGCCCAGGAGCATTCCTCTGGAGCCCCTGGGCATGGAATCCCAGCTCTCATCCTGCTCTGGGTTCCAGAGAACAGTTTCTTCGGACACGCTAGATAACATTTTGGGAGGTTCTGCTTCTAGTTCAGGGGTATCCCCCTCATGCTCACTTCCGTCTCCTGTGAAGAAGGGAAAATACACCACAAGAGGGAAGTCATAAGACAGTACCCCAGGGCCCAAGTCAGAGGGAGGTTGTATGATGCATGTCAGGAGTCAAACCTTGGCACAGAAGGGCTGGGAGAACAGAATCTAATGTACTAGACAGTGCAAGAGGTAGAGGTTGCCTAGGCTTAGGAGGCAGATTACCCAAATTTGAATCTCAGCTTTCCTACTTAACTTTTGTAAGCCTACATTTCTTCTTCTGTAAATGAGGATAATTATAAGAGATGTTATTAAATAATTAGCATAGTACCTGTTCATAGTAACTGATTTATTATCACTGTTTATCCAGCCCTGTTTCTAGTATTAATCATCATCTCTGTGCCCACATATAGATGGGGAGAGTTAGTGAGCTGCAGCCACCTCAGGTGGGTGAGCCCCATCAGCAGCACTAGAGACCCCATGGATGGCATCTTCACAAGGACAGGAGGCTGAACAAAAATACACTGTTCTATTATGTTAACATATTTAATTTTCACAATAATTTATAGATGAGGAAGCCAAAGACAGGTTAATTACTTTCCCAGAGTCTCACAGGCATGGTACTAGATTCAAATCCAAATTTGGTTCCAGAGCCTGCCCTCTTAAACCATTTTACAGACTGTCTTGCTTTTGAAGAAAAACCTTTAGACAGAGGAGAGATTAGAGAGAGATGTAATAATGATGATTCTCCAAGAGGGTTGGAGGGAGTGGCTGAAAGTCTATTCTAGGTCCTCACCTGTGTATGTGACCCTCAGGATGTCCCTCTCCTCTAAGTCCTGGGGGTCAGGGACCCATTGTTCTTCCACTCCTTCTAGTTGAGAAAGCATGTCCAGTTTGGGAATTGGAAATCCTGCCCATGGGAAAGGAAAATAGTGATGTCAAAAAGTTCCACTATAACTTTATTTCTGGAAAAAAAAAAAGTTTCCTAGATTACTCCTTGAAACTCTGAATAAAACAATGCCAGATACAGAGGACTGTTTCTCACCTCCCCCATTTCTGTTCGCTTCTCTGTTTCAGAAAATCACTCTCCTCTCCAATGAGTCTGTTCTTTTCTACTTAAATTTCAAATATTTTCAGCTCAACTCTTTTCTCTGATCATAACTAACTTCTGAATACAGCTGCCCCATCCCTTGGACTCCCCTCTCCCCCTAGATGGTCACTAAGTTTCTAAGGATTCTGTTCTATCTCTTAGATGTCAATTCCCAACCATCATTCAACATTACTTTACTATTATTTAAAAAAAAAATGTTACTTCACTTCTATTCTCTTTAGATTACCCCTAGTGTCCTTTTTCTGGTGGAAGCCCTGATAGACTCCTAGCCAAGGAAAGGATCCTAGACAGATACTATCTAACAGCCCTAGAACAGATGGCTCCATCCTCCCAGAGTACAGTGGCTCAAAACATCATGCTTACTTAGAGAGACCACTATCCCACAGTTTTCCTGCATGACATATTCTCCATAAAAGTCTGTCTGAGAAGGGTCCAGACTCCGCCACTCCTCCTGAGAGAAGCACAGTGACACATCCTTGATGGTTACCAGACCCTGAAACAAAATACAGCATCATCTGTCAGCAGCTATTTCTTAAGGAAAATGTGATCTCAGTATGTAAAATAGAGTTAGTAGAGGAGAGAGTTCAAGAAAAAAAACTCTAGAAGAAATATTCTAGATTCTCTGAGTAGGGCACATAGTTCTGGTAAAGGGGAAGAGGTAAAGGCAATGGTCTCTAGAGGAGTTTCCCAAATGGGACCCTGAGAAGGAGGCAACATAAACTCATAGCTCTCCCTGTAGTTGTCTGCCTACTCTTTCCTCTGCCTTACTGTTTTCACTGCAGAAATTGCACTAGCTCCTCCTTCCTCTACTTGACCTTTCCTTTTTCTATCTATACAAAATGATACAAATAGAACATTCTTTCTTGCCTCCCCTCTATCATGCCATATCCTTATCTTTTCAGGCAACATAGTATGGGGGTTAGGAGCCCAGATTCTAGAGCCAAATGACTCCTAGTTCTGTCACTTATTAGCAGTATGGCCTTATGCAAGTGCCTTAATCACTTCCTGTGCTAATTTTCTCATCTGTAAGATGTGGATAACTGAGCTTCTCTCAGGATTAAATGAATTTACATAAAGCTCCCAGAGAACAGCACAGAAGGTAATACCACTATTGTTATTAGCTTTCCATGGATCTCCCATTGCCTTCTGAATCTAAACCTATTTTTTTCCTGAGGCTTAGCCCATTTACATCTTTCCCTTCTATCTTTTTTTCCATAAATGCTCTATTATCCCCCTAATCCTGTCAACATTATATCTTCCAAGCTCCTTCAGATCTTTTTTCTCTAATCTTTCAGATTCATTTCTTAAAGGACATTAATTATTTTTATTTTTTTAAAAAGATTTTATTTATTCATGCATACGAGAACTGGGGTCCAGGCCAGAATGCGAGCAAGGGAGGGGGTGAGAGGATTCACCAGAGACATAGTGGGGAGCAGAACAGGCAGATCTACTGAAATACAGCGGATGAGACAGGAGAGGTCTGCTGCGCCATGTGGGTCACCTCCCTGGCCAGGGATCGAGCTTGGGCTGCAGTGGCTGCGGATTGCTTCATTGTGCTGATGCTTAACCCCTTGCGCCACCAGGGAGGCCCCTAATGAATTATTTTTAAAACCCCTCTGTGGATAGCACAGCCATCCATTAAAAAAACCCAACCCTCAAGGAGTACCCCTCTCCTCATATGCCTCCATTTCATTTTTTCAAAGATATTATGAATCCCTGGGAAAGGGATAAGATCTGTTCAGTTGTCAGATGAACATATCACCGGTGAAATAATGAATCAATGGGATGGTGGCTATCGAAAAGCAGTACGATGAGACCTGGGAGAGGCCAAGGGAAGCACACAGCCCACCTGTGATCCGGCTGCAAGAAGTGCAGCTGCCATCTCCCAATCTCCGGTGCTCCCTTCCTGGGGAACAGCAGGAACCCAGGGAGCCGACTGAGCTGGTGAAGGTAGAAAGGAACCATTAGAGATGGACCATCCAACCCTTCACAATAAGAGCATGAGCCCACTTTAGAGGGGCTTAAGAGTCACATATTTTCCTGTCTTGCCCACTGGTAAAACTCAATATAAGAGAAGAGACCTTTACTCAAAATGGTTATTAAGGTCTCAAGTGTTTTTTGTAAAGCTTCACGTCACCCACCTCTACTAGACTAGGTATGAGTTGAATTTATATTATTTGAATGCGACTTTCATCTAATAAAGTGCATCTTACATGGTGTACTCTCCAACAGTAATCAGTGTTGCTATCTCTTCCCTTGTCTCCCACATTCAATATTACTAACCATGCACTTGCAGCCATGTGGAGGGCATGATTATGCAAAAAAATGGAAGAAGGTCAGTTACATGGTTTGAAGAACCCAGGAGCTTCTCATATTCCTGTGAACAGGGCCCAGAAAAAATGGACTAGGCCTGGTATTTGTTAGGCTGTTCAGTCCATGGCAATTCTGGAATTTTTAACTCTTTTTGAATAGAGATTAGGAGACCACTCTGCATTAGGCCTCTCACACCTCCCCTCTTGGCTCTCACCCTTTTCCTGAAGGATCTGTGGCTCCTCTTCAAGGTCACAGCACAGGTGCTCTAGTGGCCCTTGGGCTGCTCTCCACGGCCCCTCTTCCTGGCTTCTCCTTTCCATGTGGGGCTCTGCTCCATCCAGCTGGACATTCATTGATTCCCATCCTGTCCCCAGGGCTGCTGTCTGTTCTGAAAGCATTTTTGCTACAAACCCAAATTGTGACCTGGAACAAATTCATATCAACTGTGTCCATGAAAACAGAAAGGGGTGATATTCCTAAGAGAGTTATGGAGAACAGACCTGGGGATAAAAGATTAAACTGGTTAAGAGGCGATTGATGGAAGATGAACTTCAAAATTTTTATGTGTTCCAATGAACTGAACCCGAGTCAAGCTTCCTGGAGGAACTAAGAAATTATCAGATGCTTCCTACCAAAATCAGTAATGGCTATTTTGGGGCCCTTATGGTAAAAACAGAATGCTGAGGGTTGGAAGAACATCCGGGGGAAAAAAAAAAAAAGGCAGTCCTGAAAATTCAAAACTTTCTATTTAATTTCAACCACTGAAAATAAATTAATGTAAGGAAACATGCAGGAAGTGATGCACACAGAGTTGCAGTCAACAAAAATAGATATATATCACATATAAGATTTTCTGCCACAAATAACATTCTCATCAGTTAATCCAGAATGGAATGGGTATTACAAGTACACACCAGCCAAAGGGTTGTGTCTGTGTCATGAGCACACACCTCTTTTATGAGTCCAACCCAAATGCCTCCCTTAGGACAAGTCTCAGCAGAGAGACAGGTAAGCTTTCACTCTGATATAGAAAATGAGAACTGGTAATAAATACGCTAGAAAGACAAGTAACTTGGATAGCAGAGGTACGACTCCAAAGCAGCCCTGACAGATAAGAGAAATTGTTAGTTCATGAGGAGCTAATGTATAATTGGGAAAAATAAAAAAGAACAGAAAGACTGTGGACCAGATGGAAAAAGAGGAAGCAGTTGCTTCTAATGCGACCCCAGGTAAACTGACAGCCCCATGATTTGAGACACAGGAAAGAACATCAGAGCTCGTTTGAAAAATATATTCAGTTTTGAAGGGTATGGAGAAGCCAGAGTGTGTTCACTGGAATAAACAAAAATGAAGAAAAATTGGAAATTTGGCCATTGGGGAAAAATTAAAAACAGGATGTAGTTGCCTCCCTCCCTGCCTTGGAAAGAAGGTTGATGTATCATACCCCCCGTGAACAAAAAGAGAGATCTTCTATTTCTATGCAGAGCTTGTGATTGCAAGAGAGGAAATATAGGTCAGACAAAACGATTCTTAACAATAATCCTGTAGTACACAGGACCCGGATATGGGCTCCGTTTTCTTTGGACATCTCAGGAGCAGGACAGGACAGGCCGCTGTTCTGTAATAGGAACCCCTCTGCCTTACCGCCAAGAAAGTCAGACTGCAGCGTTCTTTCTGCTGGGTATTATTAAACTTTCGTAACTCATTGAAAGGCATCCAAGAAAAAGGTGAGAACCTTGGTAACTACCCTGGCTCCTTCACATCCATTCCATTCAAGAGTAAGTGCAAGACCCCGTAAGCCCAGGATAGGTAATGGCAGATACCAAGTTATTTATTTTCATAACTATTTGTCTTTGACAAGAGGTAGGTGGGAAGGCTAATGCACAGCAAGTCCAAAAGAAACCCAAGGATGCCTCATGGGACCTTCCTTGACTAACTTCCAGCTTAGGAGGTTTCCTCTTCATGGAGATTTCTCATGAGAAAGGAAAATTCCTTATAAAGCAACAGGGGGAAACTTTCATTTTAGCTCTCTTCTTTGAATTCCAGTCCCTGTATTTGTCTCATTTTTATCAACAAGGCACCAATTTAGCTTTTTTACTGGAGGTCTTCCTTGTTCTCTACTTCCTTTCCCAAATCCCCAGGACTTGACCTCTGGCGCACTATCTGGACACCTAGTTCAACCCTATTCCATCTCCCCAGCAGCAGGGGCCCTTGGTGGGAAGTTTTTCCTGCAGAGCCTATTGGGCCAGGTATCATGCCTTTCCTGACCACTGGCAGAAAACTTGTGTAAAGTGCTGGCAAAAATCTCTGCCAACAAGGGATAAACGCCTGTTCTGTCTGCATTTCCTAAGATGTTCCCTCTCAGAGCCAGCAGGGCAGTCAGGGTGTCAGCCATAACCTGGTTTCTCCTGGCTCTGAGGTGATCCCTGGTTTAGTGGACACGAGGTTCTAGGGCTTTCATTTCCCGGATTTCTCACACATCTGGGGGCCTGACACCTGCAGAAGGTATTTTTTTCCATAGGAGCGCGTTTGGGCGGAGAAAGGGCCCCTGTTCTCTAAATGAGCAGCCCAAGGGCACAAGGACCGGCCGTGTCCTGGGGAGGATTCTGGTCCCGGCCGCTGGCGGGCGTGGGCGGGACGGGCGCCCGCTCGGGAATGAGGTGGCATCTTCCTCCTGTCACCGTACTCTAGGGGAGTGTCAGGTTTCAGAGAATCCGAGAGGCAGAACCCGAGCAGGGGAAGTGAGGTCAAAAATAAAAAAAAACAAAAAACAAAACAAAACCCACACACACAAAACAAACAAAAAAACCAGGTTTCCCCAGAATTGGGGCAAGAGCAAGTGAGGAGAAAGGAGCCGGGGTGGCCTGCGCGCGTGACAGCGGGAGCTCCCCGCGGGGCCTGACAGCCGCGGGGCCGGGGGCGCCGGGTGAAGCGCAGGCACGGAATGTCAGTGGGTCGAGCCCCGGGCAAGGCACCCACCGAGGCCGCATCCACCCTCCTCCCCTCCCCGGGAGCCCGGGCCGCCGCCGTCCGCGCCCAGCGTCCCTCCCTCGGGCTGCAGCTCCCTCCCGCCGGGCCCACTCACCCCGCTCCGCTTGGCCTGCCGCCCGGTGCCTCCCTCCGGGGCGCCGCCCGCCCCTCCCCTCGGCCCTGCGCGTCGCGGGAGCAGTGGGCCGCGGAGCCAGCGGCGGGCGGAGACGGCCCGGCGGGCGCGGCGGGGCGGGGCGGGCACAGGAAATCCCGCCCGCTTCCGGGGCTCGGCGGCGGCGCGAAGGGCTGGCGGGGCGGGGCGGCGGCCTGGGCGCCCGGGCCTGCTGGGGGAGGGCGCCCCGCGGCCCCGCGGCCCCGCGGCCCCGCCGGGCAGTCCCTGACCGCTCTTGGACCCGAGCCCGAGCTCGCGGGGTCCTGTGCCGGCGGGGTCCTTACTCGCGCGGGCATTTAATGTCCGCTCCTTATTTGACAGTCGCTGTGAGAGAGATTTCTCCCGACGGCAGTCTGGAATTCCTCCAGCAGCATCCTTCTGGGTTTTAGGGAGCGAATATAAAGGGCCCGAGAAGACATTGAGGTGGAATCACAGATTCGGAATGAGGGACGGTCAAGTTGACTTGAGCAAGCGGCATTATGTGAGTGGATCTCACAGCTGCCTTGTGCAATTTGTGGGAGACTCTGGAAGCCAGTAACGGTTCTTTATGTGACTAGTCCAACTATATTTGTGGCAACATACCAGATTAGAAGACTTTACTTAGCAAAATGTGAGAACGCTAATAAGCATTATTTTGGATAGCTTGGGTTAAATATAGTGTTGACATTAATTTCACCTACTTTATCTTTTTAAATATGGCTACTAGTATTTTTTTTTTAATTATATATGTGGTCTGCATTGTATTCCATTGGGGAGAGCTGCTTCCAAGCATTAAGATGGATTTGACTGGAAAAGCTTAGGAAGGCCTACAAAATAGACTGAACATGTTGCCATTAGACTATAATCTTCAAACCACATCCATTGGTTCATCATCGACAATTCCATAAAATTTTATTTTATAGACTTAAAAAAATAAGTGACTCAATTAAGGTCCTAGGTGACATACATTTCTTTAATATATATTTCGGTTTTGCTGTTTGCCAGGCACTGTAAATGCTGGGAGTCAAAAATCATAAAGGAATTGTCTGTGGATTCAAGGACTCAGTCTGTGGAAACATGTCAACCCATATTTGCAATGACGTGTAATAGATGCTTAAAAGGAGTAGTATCTCCTACACTAGGACCAAAGAAGTTACCATGTATGGGAGTGTTAACTGTAAAATCAAGTCCCAAGGATACTTAGACAGAGTTATGGTCAACCCTGGAAGTGTTAGGGAGAAATGATGTCCTGAGCTAATCCCATACAGGCTTTGTGGACTCCACTCCCACTCCAGACTAAAGCCATCAAGACATTGGGAAAGACAAATCCCGTCACCACCAAAGGGAAGGTGGCTGGGACCTGAGGGTGGAGTTAAGCAGCCAGGTTGGATATAAAAACCAAACATGTGGGCCTTGGGCGGGCTAGCTGTTGCTTGCCTCCTGGCTTCAAGGCTCCTGGCTTGCAGCCAGCTCTCAGAGTGCCATTTTGGGATTCCAGATGGGCGGATCGGGTAGGACGCATTTAAAACTTTGTCTCCCACTATTCTCCCTGAGCAGTACATTTCCTCATTTCCCCTTCCTTTGTAAATAAACCTTTTTATTAACCTTTCGTGTGTGCCTTCTGTAGAGCATTGAAAAGTCCTTTTAAGTGCGTGGGTGAGGACCCACAGTCAGGCACCCCGTTTTGTATTGGGGCTGCCCTATAACAGTTTGGCGCCCAACGTGGTTTCCAAGTTACACCCATGGTTGACCAGCCCAAAGTAACATTCCTTGCGTTGGTCACCGTAAGCACACTAGTTCTGCAGGACTCGCAGTGTAATATTTGCCTCAAGTCCTGAAAAGTTTGTCTTTTCCCCTGTGTGTACAGCCTTTTTGGGTGCATTTTTGATTCAAATATGGCCTCAACCATGAGCATATACAGTTTCATCCCTAGCTTGAGTTCTTTCAGTTTTCTTCCGGCCTTGAATTTGAGTAGGCTTCTTCCATTAAATATCACCACCAGTTTCATTAATGTAAATAATTTGATGAAGCCTGGTGTATGGCACATGATTTTACTATTGTATACATACATGGGTGGTTACAAGCCATCCCTTTACAGTCTGTGCTTCTGGGTGTTTTTTGGGTAATATGTGTAAGTGCCATTTGCTACATTCTTGTTTCTATGAGAGGTAGATGTTCTACTTCATGTACTAAGAATGTGCAACAACACATTCAGGCTCTTAACTTAGCCATGCAACAACAAATTCAGGCTTTTAACGTGGCCATACAACAACAACATCAGGCCTTTGATTTAACTATTAAGTGCATGAGGGATGAGAACCGTAACATCTTTGAGTCAGTTTATAAAAGCATACAAGATCAAGCTTTCAAAAATATGCAGGACCGGATAGAGGTCGCCCTCCATAAATTGGATATGGCGCAGTCTCGGCTTATGGCACAGAGAAAGGATAAACCTTCCCCTTCCCATGAGGATTGCCAGCGGGCAGAGTTAGAAGAGGAGGAGCATCATATTTTAAATAATTTAAATACATCAGGACAAAATCCTCTTCCATGTGAAAAGGCACCTCCCGTTGAGACTCCTGAGGCTTCACAGCCTCCACTGCCCTCTGGGGAGGAAACTAAAATGGCATCTCCTCCCCACACTAGGTGCGGCACCCATTTTTTTAGGAAGGATCACCTTGAGGCAGGACAGTTTCCCCTTCACCAGATGCCAATGGGTGGCTTGAATGAACATGGGAGACCTGCTGGGTACTTTTGGTTGCACCATCCTTTCAGTACTCTGGACCTCCTAAATTGGAGGAGCTCTGTTCCCTCATACCGGCAGGCCCCTAAGAGGATGGAAAACTTGTTTGCCTCTATCTTGTCTCCCACCGCCCTAACTGGGAAGATATACAGTCCATGCTGCATACTTTATTAACTCTGGATGAGCAGAGAATGGTATTCAGGAAAGCCAGGGAGGAGGCTGACCGTCTCCACCAACAGGATAGGCAGTCCCCAGATCCAGAGGTTGTTGTCCCAGAGAAAGATCCTGGATGGGACCCTAACAATGGAAGAACGGCGATGTTAGATCTGTATAAAAAATGTTTATTGGTAGGACTGCAGCAGGGAATCCCCAAACAAAAAAACTTTAACAAAATATTGCAGCTCAAACAAGGAGCTAATGAGGATCTATCAGAGTTCCTTGAGAGGATTATTCAAACATAAACTAACCACACGGATATAAACCCAGATGCCCCAGAAAATGCTCGTTTGATCACTATGGCTTTCATTACCCATAGTGCCCCAGACATAAAGAAAAAGTTAGCTAAGGTGGACGGCGTCACAGAGATGAGTCCGTCCCAGGGAGTGGACTTAGCATTTAGGGTTTATAATAATAGAGAGGACAGGAAACCGAAACCTGCTACTGTTTTCTTACAAAGAGAGCACAGAACAGGGGTTCAGGGAAACAGTAATGGACAGAGACATGAACCCCTAGGAAGAAATCAGTGTGTTTTCTGTAGGGAAGAGGGACATTGGAAGTATAGTTGTCCCAGATTACAGGGAAGCGGCAGATGCAATAATTATAGAAGGCAGGATAGAAGACAGAGAACACCACGATATAATGATTTATGTAGGGGTTACAGGAGGGAATATAGAAGGAGTACACAGAACCAGGAACCAAGGAGAGAGGAAAGACAAATGTTAGCACAGAGTAGAGGCTCAGATGATGATAGGGAATACAGACAGAAAAGGAATCGAGAGCCCAGCACAGAGGAAAGGAGACAAATGACAGCACAGGGTAGAGCCTCAGGTGAAGATAGGAGGGAATATAGACAGAGTAGAAAGAATCTAGAGCCAAGTGCAGAGGAAAGGAGACAAATGATAGTTCATGGAGAAAGTTCAGATGCAGAATAGGGGTGCCCGGGGGCTCCACTAGATCTAGAGAAGCCCATTAAAATAACCCCCTCAGAGCCCCGGGTAACATTCACTGTGGGGGATCGTCTCATTGATTTCTTGGTGGACACTGGAGCGACATACTCAGTTTTGAATTCAAAATTAACTAAAATGAGCAAAGAGACTGTAGCAGTCACTGGGATTACGGGAAGGCCACAACAGAAAGCCTTTTTACAACCTTTGGAGTGCCGGCTGGGCACCACACAGCTCCAGCATAGTTTCCTATACATGAAAGAGTGTCCAATCCCTCTACTTGGTCACGACCTTTTAAGTAAGCTCAACGCACGAATTATATTCTCACCAAAACATCAGAGGCTTCACCTACAAGTTCCTCCAGAGCATGCTCTGCGGTTCCAGATGTTACTTACTCAAGATATTCCACCAAAAGGTGAAATTTTACCTCCAGAAATTGTTGAAAGAGTAAATAAATGGGTATGGGCTGATGGAACCCCAGGACGTGCGAAAAATGCAGAGCCTGTAAAGATAGAAGTGATAGAGGGGAGCAGAACCCAGAGGGGAGCAGAACCCAGAGAGGAAGTAATACCCCTTAAAGGAGGAGCCCTTGAGGGGAATTGAGCCAGTATTGAAAAGGTTCCTTCTATCTGGACTCATTAGGCCCTGCCTTTCACTGTATAACACTCCGATTCTGCCAGTGAAGAAACCCCATACAGGTGAGTACCTTTTTGTCCAAGATTTAAAGGCCATTAATGACATTGTTTGGGATTTACATCCCACCGTGCCTAATCCCTACACCTTATTAACTGCCATACCTGGTGACTTTGGGTGGTTTTCGGTATTAGACCTGAAGGATGCCTTTATCTGTATCCTGATAGATGTCCAGGATAAACTGCTTTTTGCCTTCAAGTGGCAAGACCCTAAGTCCAAGAGCACTCTCCAGTATTGCTGGACTGTGCTTCCACAGGGGTTTAAGAACTCCCCAACTATTTTTGGGGAAATACTGGCCTGGGATCTCAGGAAGGTTCAATTAAACCAGGGCATCTTGTTGCAATACATAGATGTTTTATTGATTGCAAGTCCAGACTACAAATCTT